GGGGTGCCTCTTCCACAGGCAGGTGGGCTCTGAAAGCATGGGGTGCCACAGCCATCAGAGCTGGGCTCGGTCCTGCACTGGGGGCTGGAGGGTGCTGAGCGAAGCTTCTCCTCTCCTGCAGGTACGCCATCGGCGTGGCTTACAAGTCGGCCCCCAAAAATGAGTGGATCGGGAAGAACTCCTCTTCCTGGGTTTTCTCCCGCTGCAACAACAACTTTGTGGTGCGGCACAACAACAAGGAGATGCTGGTGGAGGTGCACCCGCAGATGAAGCGCCTCGGCGTCCTCCTGGACTATGACAACAACGCGCTCTCCTTCTACGACCCGGCCAACTCCCTCCACCTCCACACCTTCGAAGTCTCCTTCATCCTGCCAGTGTGTCCCACCTTCACCATCTGGAACAAATCCCTGATGATCCTCTCGGGGCTGCCTGCCCCGGATTTCATTGATTACCCCGAGCAGCAGGAGTGTAACTGCCGGCCCCAGGAGTCCCCATACGTGTCAGGAATGAAAGCCTGTCACTAGGCTGCCCAGGCCTGCCCGTGCCCCACAGCGGCACTGGCCGTGCCGGTGGGTGCCGGTGGTCAGAGCTGCCAGCTGGGAGCCCCCTGGCAGCCGTGCCGGAGAGCCGCCGTGCCACCCCAGCAACCAAGCGCCATCCACAACCAGCTCCGTCTTGTTTTTAGGGAAAAGTGGAAGAACCTCGAACCGCAGCTGGAAATAAACTGCTGGTGGTGAGCTCCAGTGTGCATGAGAGCAGCTGGAGCAGCACCTTGACGGTGGCTCCCATCCCTTCCCGAGTGGATTGTCACCTGTCTTCCTTCAGGGGCTGGAAAGGTTGGGTTGGGTTTCGGGGTGACCTGAGGTGCCGTGGTGGTCAGGGGACAGCTCGTGTGTCCTGCGAGGCACCGGTTGGGACAGGAGGGGTGGGTTCTGGAGCCTGCTGGCAGCTGGTCTGTGGAACTGGAGCCACTGAGCAGTGCTTTTCAGGGAGATCTTTCCATGTGGCTGAGGCTCAGTAGCTTCCCTGGTGGGGTGAATAATGCGTGGAGCCCTTGGGCTTGGTGAGCACTGACGTGGTGGATGGATGGTGGTTATGTGGTGGGGGGTGATGGTTATGTGGCTAATGGTCTGTGAGAGCTGAGGCAACACTGAGGACTGTCCCACTGCCTGTCCGTGCTGCAGCTGGCCTGTTCCCAAAGCATCTTCTGGGTCTGCAGTCCCACAGTGGAGAGCCACAGATCCCCACCCCACCATGTCTCCTCCTTTGAGAGCTCCCCAGTAGCCAAGGAGGCCTGGATCCTTGAGGAGCTTCGGCCCCTGGCACGGAGGTTTGGCAGCTGCTCCTTCCCAATGCGGGGTCTGGACGGCGGTGCCCTTGCTCCATTAGTGCCCTGTCTGGTGTCCCAGCAGAAACAAACTCATCTTTCTGCTCTGAGCCCACAGCAGAGTCCTGCCTGAAGATCATCTCTATGCTTTATGACCCAAATCTCAAATTATGACCCCAGATCTTGGCTCCTGGTTTGTTCTCCACCATGCCAGGGGATTGGACTGGGTGAATTTTAAAGGTCCCTTTCAGCCCAAACTATTCCATGATTCTGTGGCAGTGGGAACACAAAGCCATCCTGTTTACTCTGTGGCAAAGGACTGGAGCCCCAAGGGCTCCAGACTCTGGTTACTGGGAGCTCTTTGGCTGCTGCCAGTGCACCCAGTAACCCCAAACATCAAGTCCCCTGGCCAAGCTCCATTTTCTAGATTTAGTTAAGAGGCCAGGAGGAGCTGGGCCAGCACATGGTCCCTGTGTCACAGCAGGGGTCTGTGGCACACTTCGGGTCCAGTGAGTGGGAAGGTGGCAAGAACGTCGGAGGGGGACAAGGAGGTCAGGCATTGTGGTGTGGCCCAAGGTGGCTGGTGCTTGAGCTTTGCTCCATGGGATTTGAAACCCCTTTTCCTCCTCTGGATGTGGTGCCTCAGTGGGACTGGGGACCACTGAGCCAGGACCTCCCAGGTCTGCTAGCTGTTCCCTTCCTTTGGAGCTTTCTGATAGGTAAGTTTGCCCCTGCTTGCCAAACCTGATTTCCTTCTATGACAGGGTGACCCTCTAGATCTAGCTGATCTAGGAAAGCCAGTAGATGGAATCTAAAAGCAAAGCTTTTGGTACTGTCTCTCCTAGGACCCTTCTGGACAAACTGTCCAGCCCACAGCTGAATAACCATGTTAAACGGTGGGTGAGCAACTGGCTCATGGGTCAGGCACAGAGGGCACAAAGACAGTGACTGAGGTGACATCAGGCTGGCATCAGTCACTAGTGGGGTTCTGCAGGGCTTCATCCTCGGCCCCGTTCTCTTCAACATATTAATTAACAACTTGGATGCAGGACTCAAAGGAATACTAAGTAAGTTTGCTGATGACACTAAATTGGGAGGAGCTGTTGACTCCCTCGAGGGCAGAGACCTCGACAAATCAGAGAGATGGGCAATCACCAACCATATGAAGTTTAACAAGGGCAAGTGCTGGATTCTGCACCTGGGACAGGGCAACCCTGGTTGTGTGTATAAACTGGGGAATGAGAGGCTGGAGAGCAGCATGGCATCCCTCCGTGTCTCCAGGCTGCAGTTTTTGGGAAAGGGAGGCAGGCGGCACCTCAGGGAAGGATCTGCTGCCTGCCCTGCTGATCCAAGAGGGGTTTCTCTCTGATCCAGGCTGCTTTCCAAGGGTGCCTGGCAGGGCCAGCACAGGGGATACATCCCTCGCTCCTGAGCAGACGGAGCAGCTCTGTTTGCTTCTCCCAGCTCCGGGGCACAGGTGGGGTTGCAGCGGGGGTGCATCTGCTGTCCCCACAGCCTGGCACACAACCCTGGTTCATTCTAGGAGGTTGTCACCCTTTTCAGTTGGCTGTTTTTCATGGGAAACTCTCATGGAAGTCCCTTCCCCATGTTCTGGTCCCATCTGGGGCTGCTCATACTGTGTCACTCAGATGAATGCCAAGCACTGGAGATGGATGTTGGCACTGGCAATCTAAGTGTCGAGCTCCCTGCCAGCACCACTGGGATGGGCTCGTGGAGGACTCAGCACATCTTGAACTCGGAGACCATGAGCCCTTAACGTGACGTTTGCACCTGATGAAATTGCACTAATTACAGGGACCCCCCACAGGTGTCTCAGACCCAGTCAGGTAGGAGGGTGGCGGGGGGAGCTGGAGGAGCCCTGCACCCCAAGCAGGGAGCTCCAGGGCTGGGGGCCTTCCCCAGTCACACACATGGTCCTCTCCCGGTGCTGGAAGCAGAGCCTATCCAAGTGTCACCAGGAGTTGGGGAGCAGCAGCCCCATCCCTGGGCCCTGCTCAGGATGTGATTCAGGGGCAGGACATGAGGGTGGTCCGGGGTGCTGCTGCCAGCTCCTCTGCTCCTGGTGGCAAAGTTGTACAGATTTGGGATGTGTGAGCTCCTGGCTCCCCTCAGCCTCCCCCTCCACATGTAACATTCCTGCTTCAGTTTTAACTGGGGGGAGGGTTGTTCTTTCTGTTGTTTTTTTTCCCCTTTTTGTTGGGTTGGTTGTTTTTTGGGGGGCAACTTCTTTGTTAATGTGTGTATATATATATATATATATATAAAAAATATAATATAATATATATATATGTTACTGGGTATGTCTGTGTGGGGGGAGGTCATGGGGTGGGGACAGCCCTGGGATCTTCTCTTTGGCTATCACGGCGTTCTCCAAACTTGCCAAGACACACATGTGGCCATGCACCCACAGGAGCAGAGGGGATATGTGTTACTATCCAACAGCAGCTTTCCTTGTGCTGGGCTCAGCCCAGCCTGGAGAGCCTGCGGGGTGGCTGGGCACCCAGGCTGCTAAAGCTCCATCCGAAAACATCCGTACGCATCAATATTGTTCACCCTGCTGCCAGCCCTTGGAGGATGTCACATTGTCCTCTTTATCAGGACACCAAGTGCCTCAGCCTGCCTTTCCCCAGCCTTGGATGGCCTGGACATCTTCGAGTACCAGTCAGGTCTTTCTGGACCTCAGGTCCCACTTGCCCCCCCAGTGACTCAGAGCTGTGGGAGGGCAGGGATGGAGCCTGACCCTGCTACCCTCAAGCCCAGGTCCCCCCACAGTGCCCTAGAACTGTGGGAGGGCAGGGATGGAGCCTGACCTATCCTTCCCAGCAGCGTGGAGCTGAGCTGGTGGTGGGGCTGAGCACCAGCCATGACATCCCTGCCCTCCACAGAGCCCCTGCCATGCACAGAGACTGGCAGCCAGCAAGGAGGAACACAGGGATTGCCCTCTCTCAGCCCCAGCCTTGGGCTCCCAAATCCCCCAGCCCCTTTCACTCACTCCGGCTCTCACAACAGGACCCTGTGGTGGCAGAAGGACAGGGATCCTCTGTGCATGGATGTGCCTGATGCTGCTCCTGTCATGCTGCTGGCAGGATTCCGGCCTCAGTGGCTCAGGCTGCGAGTGGGTGTTGCTGTGAATCACCAGTATGGATGTTAGCCCAGTGCTTGGAGAGCTGGCGGGGCTGGGAGTTGCTGGAAAAGGCACGCCTTGGGAAAGCAGGGTCCCGGGGTGCTGGGAATCACACCCTCCCATCCTTCATCCCTCCACCTCAGTGGAATGAGGGGAAGCTCCCCACTGTCACTCCAGAGATTGCTTCATTGTCAGTGTTAAATGGGGAAATGAGTCGTGGGAGGGAGGGGTGTGTTTTCCTTTCCATAGCTGTGCTTCATTATCCCGAACCTGAAACCCATCTCCAGAAAAAACCACAGCCCAAGGCATCCATTGGGATGAGGACCACCGGGCACTGGGACAGCACTCGGTGCCAGCTGAGGGTACAGGCATGACTGGGGGATATTGGGCAAGTGGAGAGCAGGTGGCAAAGGCTCAGCCCATACTGGGTTGGTGCTGGGGCAGAAACGTGGCAGTGTCACCTCCATGTCTTCTGGCCATGCCCAAACCCCCTGGGAGCCACCACCACCATTGGACTCCCCCTTCTCCCACTTTCCCCTCCAGCCAGTGCCAGGCACAACCAGCCACTCCAGCCCTCACGAATGCTGGGAGTGGTCCAGGTCTCTGTCACAGTCCCTGGAAACCAGGGGAAGCTTTACCCTGTGAAAAGGATGTAATCCCTCGTCACCTATTTTCCTGAAGCAGCTGGTGTGGGCAAGAGCCCAGGAAAGAGCTTTTCCCTCCCTCTTACTGCTTTATCTGGTGCCTTTCACTATCAACCTCAGGTTTCTAGGAAACAGCATCGCTTGTTGTGAAAGCCAATTTTAAATCATCACTGATGTGGCAGGTTGCTTCATGGAAAGGGAAAGGCTGTACTGAGATGATGGAATGAGCTTTGCTGCTGCTTTCCAGGAATGTGCTTTAAACATGAGAGGCTTCAGTGTCACAAATGCCACAAATCAAACCAGAAATGGATTCTTCAAGTCAGCCAGGAGGGGGGAAAAAACAGCATGTGGCATGGCTTGGGAGGGCTAATGGCAGGTTTTGTGGGGCTGAGGGTTTGGGTTTGGCTTTTTATTTTTCATTTCCTCGGGAGTTCATGAAATAGGAAATAAAACTGTCAAAGTTTAAAACCCCACTGCCTGGAAGCCCTGGGGCTTTGCCCCTGCTCTGGGGAGCTGCAAGGTGAAAAGACAGGAGAAATTACTGGGTTTATACAGCAAGTGACATCAAAAAATGCCTCATCTGTCCCTGTCTGCAGCAGCAATGGCTTGCACTGGGATGGGATAATCCTTGCCAGGAACACACACTGCAGCCCCTCCATCCAGGAATGGAAATTCCTTTAACTGGTGATTTCACTCCAGGTTAAAAAAAACCCAGTAGTTTAATAAAATGACAGAACAGAAAATTACACTCTGGGCTGCTCACAGACCGCACAGGGCAAACGAGTTATAGAGTGAGATGACCCAAATTAATCCTTAATAGAACTTTAATTGAGATTTTAAATACTCATCTGAAGCACCAGCCCTTAAAACTGACTGTTCCTGATCATTAGACACATCAAAGCATCGTTAAATATCTTGTAGGAATATTCTTGGTCTGGCTGTGATGGACAACACCTGGAATGAGACCAGAAGCCTTCACTGAAGAATTTGTGGATTTAAGGCATGCAGGCAGTAAGGTAGTGAGGACATCAGTGCTTGTGTCTCAGACTGAAAATGGCTGCTGGGGGAACCTCATGAACCCATCCTGAGCTGCAGGAACTGTCCTGAACTGCAGGAAGTTCCCTGTGCTGTAGGAACCCAGCCTGAGCTTCAGGAGCCCATCCTGAGCTGCCGGAACCCATCCTGAGTGACAGGAATGGTTCCTGAGCGGGAACCATCCTGACACACCTGAAGCAGGCAGCCAGGAACTCTAGCCCTTCACTGGGACTTGTAAATCTCATCTAGCCCCTCTCCTGGGAACACTTATCCAGCCTCACCACAGCATCCTCCCTGCCCCAGAGCCGGTCAGGAGCTGTTAATGGAATTGGGTCCAGTTCTCCATGGCAACAAGCAAGAACTGGGTCAGTGCAGGATGCGAGCAGCTGAGCACTCCCAGGAGTTTTAAAAGTAAACACCAGCCAGAAAGAAAGGGGGGGGGGAGGGATGAGGGGACCCTGGGGCCCCCAGACCTGCATGAGGGCTCCCATCACCACTTGGCACAGGGCACAGGGGGGGTCCCAGCCCTGTGCAGGGAGAGGGGGCACGTGAAGGTTCCTGTGGGTAATTCTGTGTGTGACAGCAGACCCAGGGCTGCACAGGGCAGGGGCCCCTGTGGTCCCCAAGGCACACACAGCCCTCCATGCCTCCAGTCAGCAAGTGTGCCTAGAAATGTGCCCTTCCCTCTATTTCCCACTGCTCCGAGCCAAGAGTCTTCTCTCCACACAGCTCTTGCTCTCCTGCCTCCCTAGCACTAATTTACTCCTGTCTATTTACACAGGTGAGCAGGCTGAGATCCGTCACCAGAATTCTCTGTGCAGAGGCCATCCATGTGAAAACCCTCATTACAGCTCCTTGCTGGCAGGAGCTGTGCTTGGCACACTGCCTTTGATCAGCTGGATGCTTGGATCGAGCTTGGATCTGAGCAACGTGGCCACTGCCTTTGCTCTGTGCTCAGAAGCCTCGTGGTGGAGGCTCCATCATTATCCTGCTGCCAACACAGAGGTGCCTCTGCCATGACAGCCCTTCAATAATTACCTGAGTGACAGGAACAGTGCTGAGCTGTCGGGGCAGCAGCGATGGGTGAGGTGGTTTGAGGGGGCTGCAGAGTGCAGCAGGAGGAACTGGGTGGAAGTGGAGGTTGGGACTGGATGATCCTTAAGGGGCCCCTCCATGCGAAACCATTCCATGATTCTATGATTCTGTGAAGTTAAACAGCAGCTGCAGGTTTTGAGAACAATGAGGAAATGACCTGCAGATTTTCCCCAAGGCCAGTCAGAGCCATGAATTCAGCCACCGTGGTCACTGATGGTCACGA